ATGGCCAGAAGCTAGAGCAGAGCAATGGGATCTTGAAGGAGGCTAGCAGTCACCTGACTAAAGAGAGGGACGGACTTCAGCTTCGCCACGACAAGCAGCTGTCTCGGCTGCGCTTCTTTGACCAGGCACTGGAATCATCTCGGGGTCGATTGACCAGGATCCTCGATGACTGGGATCACCCTTGCAGACTCAACCTGGCAGGGCTGCCAGGCATAGCAAGAGAAGGTTGAAGGATTCTATATTCTTGATTGTCCTATGTCTTTTACCATGTGGAGAGTATCCAATGATGTACAGTATCCAACGATGTTGCAATGAAGAGTTACCGCAGGGAAAGAAGCTTATATCTTTTCGAGAACTCATATTACAGCTTTTGTGGAATGTGTCTGCGAATAATCCCGCATGTTCTAGTGTCGCTTTTATTGACCCAATACATTATAAACAAAAAACCACGGGTCCAATGACAGTGTGGGCAGTGTAGCTAGCGGAGAAAGTGTCAATTAACTCGGCCGTTCCGCATTGCATCATGACAGCTACCCGAAGTAGATGTCGCCAGCTCTTACAGACCACCGAACCTTCTCCTTGGAGACGGCTTCAACAATGTTTGAGGAGTGTTGTCGTCTTTTATTCTGCTTCGAATGGCCCTCTGGATGCAATCGTTTCTTGCTAAATCCAGCGATCTCTTCAAACTGAAGATTTCCAGTCTGGGATTGACCACAAGTGCATCAACAATCGAGAAATGCCCACCCTTGACCGCCAACATCAATGGATCCTCAGAGCATTGATTCCTGAGGTTCACATCAATCCGATCATGGATTAGTAGTGCCTGGACCATCTCCAAGTCACCGCCACGGGCAGCCATGCAGAGAGCGCTGTCGTGAGTTGCGACCGTGCTTTCATTGATGTTCAGACGTGCGTCCTGTTGCACTAAAAGTCGTACCACATCGAGATGACCATGTGAAACCGCTCGACAAATGGGTGGGTCTATTGCATCCCTTCCATTAATCTCTACGCCCTTCATACTCAGTAGAAAAGCAACCGTGTTCACGCATCCGTGATATGCGGCCAGGGAGATTGGAGAGCGGCCTCCAACACAGACATTCAGACTGATGCCTGGCATCGCAAGCAGCCGTCGTAGGAGCACAGTATCTAACCTCGCCGCGGCATGGTGGAGAGATATAGACGGCACCTCGAACTTCCCGCGGCCTCCAACAAGATTGACGTTGATGTCTTTTTCGGCAAACAGCCTTTCGGCTGTCCCGTCGCATGACGAGTAAGTAGAAAGCCAAAGTGGCGTATTGCCATGTTTGTCTTTGCAGTTTACGTTGGCACGGGGGTGACTTAGGAGCAAATTGACCATTTCCAGGCGCTTGTTTCGAATGGCGAGGTGGAGCGGCGTATAACCATTCCGGTTCTGGATGTCCAAACTGAGGCCCTTTTGTCCGAGAAGCCGTTTGACAACATCTACTGACCCATAGGCCACTGCTTGGTGAAGAGGTAGCTCAGCCTCTTGTGATGATTTGGTACCGAGAAACACCTTGGCCATCGGATCGTTTGAAAAAATCATTTCCATCACGGGTCTATTGAAGCGACATGCCCAGTCCCATGGCGAGTGGCCCGAATCATCCTGTAGATCAGGGTCGCTGCCTCTAGAAAGTAGCAGATGCACGAGCCCTATTCGGCCTGCGAAGGCTGCTAGGTGGAGCGCCGTTCGGCCGTGTTTGTGCTTGATGTCCACCTGGATGTTGGGTTGATTTAAGACACTTTTGACGGCGGAAAAGGTTCCGTAGTGGATAGCATACCACAGGGCGCTCTCCCGCGCTTGATTTTGAATGTTGATGTGTAGGTCTCGATGATTGAGCAAGAGTTCGCGCACACCAGCGGAAGTGTATTTCAGCGCCCGCATTAAAGGAGTTTTGCCGCGGTAAAATGCATTGATGTTGGCGTCGTGCCGGAGCAAAGCCTCCGCAAGACCAATGTTGTCGTATTTCACGGCCAGGTGCAACAGATTGCTACTGAAATTTGATATTGTATTTCCAGATGCTGAGCTGCAGTTTAAAATCGAAATCTTTGCATGATTTTGCGAGGGCAAATAATGCACTACCGTCCAAATACGACACAATCCACAGCAAAAGCTCGTTGGGTAGCTCTGTAAGGTTTCGCTGTAATTTATTAGCTCATCGGTAAAATCAGCAAGAAATTGAAGCAGACCATGATTGGACAGGATGGGAGCTAGGAAGCAAATGAAATGTAAATGAAGGTGAGGTCTGAAAGTTGGACGCCTTATATGTCTCGCCTCAGCTAAATTCTGTGGTCAGCTAGAAGTGTAGCCCGTCACTCCGCTGAGGCGCGTAGCAATCACACGGCAGCATCAAAGCCTTTACAAGAACGTTTGGGCGGCGTTGAAGAATCTCTGGCGTCTAGCTCCCGGGAACGCCAAATCAGTTCCTGGTTATGTCGATAGCCTGGAGACCGAATCTATCTTGGTACCCACTTCTCACATCTAGCGCCATAAGAGTAGATCATAACCTATCACGCACTTCGCAATTCCATAGGCAACCCAGAATTTCACCCAGCATTTGTCGACTTTGCGGCTAACCGCAGTAGATAGTCTGTTCGCCAATGCATGGTCATCGCGATGGACAGTCACAAGTGCAGCTGATTGCAGCAGTGGTCTGGAATGATATCCCTTCTCGCAGGCCACTGCTTGGCCGTATAGTGGCGCATACTGCGTGCGAATGCATTCTCCGACGTACCGACTGTTTCGAGGAAGTGTTCCATGCCAGCCACGCAGCCATGTATGTAAGGAGCCACGCGATGGCATATAAAGCTGGCGAGGGAACGCTGCAGTGATTGCCTAACACCACCACAATCCGAATCATTTTCTGCCTTTGACGACCACCTCAATGACTACCATGCTGCCTTGGAATCCGCTTCTGGTTTGTGAGATAGAGGTCAGCCCCAATGGCGGTCCTGGCTCCTGTTGCGGGGTGACGAAAAAAGGCGAGCCATGCAAGAACTCGATCAAAGTTGAAGACACCAAGATCGGCCATCAAAAGTTGACCACTCTCGCCAGAGAGCCATTTGACTTGTCATCGTTGCAGTCCAAGCTCTGTGATGTCGCCAGAGACTTCCTCTGCGCGAGATGGCACCGGCAACGGCAGGCCGACCAAGTTGGCCAGCAGTGGTATGAAGCCGCCGTCTGCAACCAGGCGCGAGTACCACATGGCTCCAAAATGGCCTCTCCATCAGTTGTTGTACATCCAGGCCAGCGTCAGACATCGTCAGCCTCCAGGCGACGCCCTGCATCAGACAACACTGGCCCGTCACCTCCTCACAGGCTCAGACAAAACCCGCCGGTGCGGCTTTCAACCAACCCCGAGCCAGTGCAGCCATTCAATCCATTTGTGACTTCTGCAACGCTGCGGACGAACAATGTTCCATGGCGCGTTTCGCCGACCCGACCAGCCATCCTCTCATCGGCAACTAATATCCGGGCGGGTGTCCAAGACTTGACGCTGCAGAGTCTCAGGCCGAGCCAAGCGGTCGACAGCATCCACGACGACAGCATCTACTGTGTGTTCTGCCAGACAGAGGATGAAGACCATGCGGACGAGAGCGTGATCTTGCACTGCGGTCAGTGCACATCGCTCTGTCATCTGTCATGCGCCGAAGAATGGTTGGAAAAGCGAGATACAGGGTTTGGCACGTCATGCTGTGTGTGGTAAGTGTGGATGACCTTATTTCTGAGACGACCAAGATACTGATGACCGCAGCCGAAACGAAGGAGCCCTAGATGCCATCATTCGCCCCTTACGAATCCCCTCGTCGGATGCCGAGACATATTCCGTCCACACGGCAAGCGATCCATCTCCCACTGGTGGGCCCCGTCGCTCAGCCAGACTAGCAGGAACTCATCTACCACGACAACCTTCCACCGCTGCACCGCTTCGCTGATCGGCACGACTCAATTCCACTCAGCGTAGGTGATCACAGGTTACAGCCGAGTTTGACGGAAAATGCGAAAAGCGAGTGAATCACACGTGAGTGCACGTGACCGACACTCGGCATCGTGATCAGCAACTGTGGTTGTAGCATTGATATAGATTTTTGGAGCAAGCTTAGCAAGAAATGAGATCCGAAATCAGATCCTGACTGTGAAAATCCAGAGTACAAGGCGACAGTTCATTTTTGCAAGTGCTGAGCACCACTAGACCTTAGCCAAAGATACTGGCTGCTCCACTTAATTTGACAATGACATAGCGCTAAATGTGCTGGTAGATTCAGTTTCTTATTTCATCATACCTAACGGCGTGACCAGAGAGACATGTCAACAAAAGAGGGTCGAAATGTTACTAGTGCGCCCGAGGAATACTCAGCACCCCCTCTGCCTGATGATCGTTAAGGCTCTCAACGACCTTACTAAGCTCATCCCCTATTTATTCTGCACTTTCTATAATATATAAAAAACACTCTCAAGTACTCAATTGGCTATGCCCGTACTAGTCCGTACTGTAACGACCACGTTCCGACAAACTTACACCACTATATCAGGAAATTGGTGAGATCACATGACCTAGTTAGTCATGTGACTCTGGATGGTCCTGAGAGTAGTTAGATAGTCCACGAGGGGTCGGGGCTTCTCTCCTTCCCCGTCCGTCTCTCACAATAAATCCATCATTTATTGCCCGTTTCTTTCCCCTGTCAAGAGAAAGGCACGGACCTAGGCTTTGGGGCGGAGAACATCTTGTCGGTTAGCCAATAATTTCAGTCCTTACAGTACACCATCTACCGAACTCCACCACGTCCTCGGCGAAAGTATAAACTTCCGGGATTCGGCTGTATACACAAAGTGTCAACCAAAATTCTCGCAGCGACGCCCGAGAAAAGGTATCGTGGGTCACCTATCCATTACTAATTTACTTTTATGCAAAGTCCAATTCCCGTTTCCAACTCCAAAGCCGAACACCCAGCCACCACATACACACACCCAGTGGACATGACTACACCAAACTATCCACACTGGCATGCTTCCCATCCCGCGACCGATTATCGAACGTCACTTCGCCAACAGTATACTTAACCGACACATCCGTTGTCTTAACAATTCCCGCAACCCCATTCTCACTACCGCTGCTAATACTCGGACTATCCCCGCCCCGGCGATACTTGCGCATATCGAAGCGGCCGCTACCGCTTCGGCCAATACTCACAGTATTCCCAGCATTCGGGTCCGCCATCTCGTATCCGTCGTCCGCGTTGGAGTGCAGCGGCGACTTGTTGCTCGTAAATAGCTTCGAGCCAGGGAATCGCCCGCGCGAGCCGCTGGTGCCGGCGGCGTAGCTGGAGGTTTCACGATGGGATGTGCCGAGGAGATGGGGGAGGTATCGGCTGGCGATGGCTTTCACGGAGGGGCCGCAGGCGGTGATCACGGCGACGTTGACTTCGATGGCGGAGCTGCAGAAGCTGATGTTGTAGGTTGGATCGAGGTTAACTTTGTGGGTGAGGAAGACCTGGGCGAGGATGACGATGCGCCAGACGCCGATGGCGGTTGCACTGTAGGAAGGGGGTTAAATTTAGAATTGCAATTGCGATTGGGTTGAAGCGGATCGTATCGTCTGTTCGAGACACAGGGAACTTACACTCCACCCAGGCATAGGATGACGCAGACGGCAATTTTCCGTCGCAGGGGCATCTGCAAGCTCCAAGTGATAATGATGGGAATTGACAGCACCACCAAGTCCGTGAGCAGATTAAGCGCCGCAGTCGACACGTAGAAGCCGCCTTGATCAATGCATGTGCCGCCTGGAATCGACATATCGTAGACATAGGCGATTGGACGACATTGGAAGATATCAACGGATAGTGTCGCGATGAAGAGTCCGACGATGAAAGCCATGGCGCCCCAGATCAGGCCGTTTACCACGCGCGACTGAGATTCCAGCCTACGCAGGAATAACAAGATGGACAGCTTGACGACGGTCAGGGCGGGATTGTAGACCAGCTGGTTGACATAGTTCCACTGTTCAATGACTCCGGGTAAGTTACAGCATCCATCGTTGACAGCCGCCAGAATACTGACAATGAACCCCGTCTTGACATCACGGTCTTTTGGAATATCGTTGTAGTGTATCCCGACGTAGTTGGTTGTGATATCTGAGGGCGCTCGGGTCAGTACATGCTGCGAAACTTCTTTTCCTTTTGCATTGATATACCCACAATACCATGAGGTGACGGATTGGACAACGGCGAGAATCTATTAAGGCGCATTGGTGTCTAAGTATTGACGTTGGAAAGGAAGAAAGATCCCATACATATCCCACCGTGATCAAGTAATCATCTAAGTAGACTCGTTAGTAGTCTGTGGATCACTGGGGAAAGGGCCCATTCATACCACTGGTGAGTGCCGATCGTGATAAGTGGCGGCTCCAGAGCCTCAAGAGGACAGCGATTCCAGCCAAAATGGGGAAGGCAACCACAATCCCCAGCGCAGAATTCTGTAAATGAGTATCAACCATCCTCGCGCATCCTCTTGGGGCCAAACGGGGAGGGAAAATTAGAGGAGGGAATGAATTCCGGCCAGAGTCTCGGGGTTATAACCTTCCATGTAGTACGCCCGCCACAGGCAAAGATTTACAGTTACAGGCCTACAACCACATTTGTGCAGGACCCTTTGACCCCCTGCCCTATTAACCAGAATTTCCAGACTTACGCAATAAGCACCACAAGGCGCGGGTGTGGTCCGGGCCCCAATTGGCTATCATGGCCGTGGAATTGCCGATAACCGATGGTGGATAGCGTTGAAGCTACGAAGTCCCCACCGGAGGGTATGGCGTAGAAGCCACGTGGAATTTTCTTTTCTTCTGTTTCCCTCCAGTGTGTATCTACAGTGGTGTATCATAAGTATTTGACCTCCGGTACTTCGGGCTCTAACCGCCACTTAGACCGCCTACTATATCAGTCTATCAATCCTTAACACGCTAGTACACACGCTACATGTCAACGCATTTTAAAGCATATTTCGTGATTTTCTTATCCAATTATGCCTTCTATATGCCGGAAAAAAGCGTGACTACCTTACTAGAGCTAAGACATATGGTTTACATACTACCAGTAATTTTCTGCCAAGCAGTAATAAAAAGTGGGTCCTAGCCCGAAGTATCGGAGGTCAAATACTTATGATACACCACTGTATTTACAAGGTATGGAGTCCAAAGTTTGATCTAGCATTTCTTGGGACAAGGAAACCTACTTTTTAAGTTCATGATTCCAAGATGCTCTTTGGGCAATTCACCCCCTTCTTTCTATGTGATAGATTTTGGTTGATTTCGTGCACAGAAGACGGAGTATCTTCCATAATTCCTCCGTAGTACGGGTCAAAAAGGCAGCAGATATGCGGGCATACGATTATGTGCCGCTGGTTCTGGGTGTCTGGTTCCGACAGCCGCGCTGAGTGGGGAAAGTTCTGACAACCAACGGAAAACTAAAATAGGAGAGTACAGTACGGAGTACACTGAAGCGCACTAGGACTCGATTAGTATTGCTGCCTGCTTGGGTAACTTCAAGAGGAAGGTGAAAAGACAAATTACTCCATTCGTCGAATTGGACTATCTGTTCAGCCGAAGCTTCCAGTCCTCCAATCTTTGTCAATCCGGCCGCTTCGGGATATTCCCAGTGGAGCAGGATTGTTACGGGGGAGGGGGCAATTCTTTCAGACCCGAGGGAAAATGGCATTGTTACTTAAGAAGTCCTTCCGTGCTCGTCGACCACGTGGACTCTTCTATGATCGCATCTACGTTTTTCGTGCTTCGTAGCCGAGTATATGCACAATCCCGGTTTTAGCCAGCATATTACGCTTTCTACGAACTAATGTTACGAGACGTATAATCAAAACCTGGCGCCGTAAATAATAGATCTCAAAGAGTATAATGAGTATAATCCAAACGCCTTTGGCATAGGGATCCGAAAGGAATATGATTATTCATGAATATTCCTGAATATTTGCGAATATGAATAATATAAATTGAATAATATGAATATGAATAAGCCCTTTATTCATATTCGCAATATTCATGAATATATGATTAATTCATATTTATTCATATAATAAGATACCATACATTACCATTCGTTTCATTACATCCGAATACATCAATCATGCTCAGACACTTTGTTCCATAGTTATGTGCCTGCCTTTAATTTCGAAGCATGCATGCACCACTGGAAATTTATGTCTGAGACTTTCCTCTCAATAGCATCAGCCATCGCATAGTCTCCGCGTTCAGACGGTGCCTTCGGAGGCCCAAGACATCTCGAGCATTGCTGAACTCGCGTTCAATCCCGACCTCTGCCGAAGGGATGGGTAGATAATCGCGAGCGGCTTTGGCCATGAGCGGAAAATTGAACGCGTTAGCCTTCCACCACTTTAGGACCCATTGTGCGTCCGCATCGCCGATCATGTGGTGGGACCAGTTGACCGGCGGGGAATCCAAGTACTTATCAATATCCGACAAAGATGCCTCTTTGGATGGCTGAACTTTGCGCAGAGTTCTCCACATTGTTTCCGACATCCCCGCTGGACGTGGATGGTCAACTTCACACGACGCAAATGGCTCTGGAGGGTATTCTTTTTTAAGAAATTCCCGCACTTGCGAGATGATAAGCCCCGAATCTTGCTCGCTCATTTGAGACACAATCAAAGAAGATTTGATGCGCGGATCCAACACGGAAGCCACATAGTAGGGAAGGTTGTCGTCCATTTTTCTAGCAAACGTGTTCATCTTCCGAATGCCTCTTTCCACCGCATCGCGAATTTCAATGTTCACGTCTTCAAAATCTCCCTCCGCATTTCGAACATCATTTAACAAATCGTCCAAACTCCAGTAAATTGGTAGACTTTCCACAATTGTCGGGCATGCCTTTGAAACGGAGTTTGTGTGGTCCCAGAACGGCTTGAGGATCTTGGCTACTTGCTGAAGTGTCGACCATTCGTCGTCGGCAAGCTGGAGGGCCTGAACTTCTGGATGTATCCGCACAAACTGCCCCAGCTCAGTTTGTAGCCGAAGGGCATCTTGAATCATGATATACGTCGAGTTCCATCGGGTGTCAATATCATAACTGACTTGTTTTCCAGGTGATACTTCTTTCCAATCTTGGCGGCGCTGTGGGCTACGGGCGATCCACAGCGTCAGAAGTCGTATTTTCATGATTGCTCCTTTCGTGCTGTGAAGGGAGTTGAATGCTGGGCTAGTATGGATGGCCATGTCGTCCAGTATCGCCTTTGCTTCTCGAGCCGAACCAGCCCTTAAAGAAGCTAACACATCTTTGCAAATCAGATTGACGATATGGGCAAGGCAAGAAATGAAACTCTGTCGTCCGCGGAATCGCATTAGAGGCCTAATGCGAAAGCGGTCATCGTCATTAACATACTTCTTGAGGAGCTGGTCATGCAGGCTATCGCAGAGCGTCCCATTATTGCCTGCATTGTCCCCTGTGATGGTCAGGAGCTTTGGCGCGATGTCCAGTTCGACGAGCATCTTCAACACAACTTCCGCTAGATTGTCTCCAGAATGCGGTCCATTGATCTCGGTGAACTCGAGAAGGTCATCTCGCTTTTCAAAATCGGGGGTGATCCAATGACCAATGATACCCATTATCGCAATCTGGTTTTCCGACGTCCAAACGTCAAGAGACAAAGCGAGTGTGCGGCTGCTCCTAGCAAGCTCCTCTTTCACGTAAGCCCTACTTGAATGGAATTCCTCCTTGATTCGGTTAAAAAGAGTATCAGCAGTCTTGATGGGCAAAGAAGCCCCCGTTGCTTCAATAAGTGCCTTGAAAGCCGGATGCTCCACCACCGTGAAAGGCTGTCTAGTTTGAATGACCCATCGGACTAGCATTTCTTCAACGCCAGCCTTCTTTCTCGGCGACTCCAAGAACCGGTCGAGGCTTCCTGCGGCCGTGGGTAAGAAGATGGAGTCAGCCCCAGACTTGATACGATGCTTGGTCTGGAGATGCACCAACAAATTCGAAGTGGAACCATAGCGCGCCGAATCTCTGGAGGACCAGCTGCAATGTTTGCAAATCAGTAGTCAGTCTTTTTTCAGTGGGCCACCCTGCCGACACCAAGTGCTATCCAGATCTGTGGTCCAAAAGTGCTCAATGGTCCAACTAGAGTACGACTTGGTTTTTCGTCTTTTATACGGGTGCGGACTACTCGTATTGCTCCTGCTTTCCGAAAAGGCAGGATCAAGCGGGGAGGGCGAAGAGCTAGGCAAAGAATAAGTCTGCTTCGTCTGAGGCGTGTCTTCGGTGTTCCTAGATGGGGAGGGCTCAGGAGAGTAAGGGCGTCCTGTTTCACACATAGATTCCTCAGACTGCTCCGAAGGTGACGAAACCAGGCCATTGTGTAGAGCATTATAGTCTCGACATGGAAGACCACGCGTCCTCCGCAGGGACGGATTAGGTGTAGATGCCATGCTACTGTTTCCTGGTATCAGTATATCAAGAGGGTATCGACGGTGATGCATAACATACCTTGAGCTACCTGGGCTGGGGTTAGAAACTGATAGGGGACTTGAGGATAGGATGATGGTTGACAGGCCCAGTCATGTTCGCGCTTTATATGCCCTTCTTGACGTGAAAAGTTGATAGATCTCTTTTCTGTTTTCTGCAACGCGATATTGACGATTCTGAACGTAAACAAATGCAGCCAGGGTCATTGGAGGCTCTGGGTTGTGAGGCAAACGCGTTTTTACGTGCCATTTCTCAGGGCTACTTTGTGCACCAAGTTTGAAATGGATTGCAATGGAATCAGGGAACTGAGAAAATCTATTCAATTAATTGCCTAAGATGATTCGCAATTAGGTTGACAGATATATATAATCTTCACGGATCTTCGTGGCCGGTGTCAAGTTTCTGTGGACAAGATCCATGTGAATGAGTATCATGTCTCAAAAAGATCTACTACGGTACATCAAGCTGGTCAACCCTATAGAAGCAGGTTGTACCTTCCAGCATATATTCGCAACGGAAATTCATAGTCCAGCGTTGCTGATGACGTGATGGCATTGTGAAATCGACCACTAAGCGCATTTCGGTAATACGATAACCGCTGTACCGGACAAAGTATTAATGCGGAGAAATTGTACAATATGAATAATATGAATGCGAATATGAATAATGCGTTTATTCGTGCGAATAAAAAATTCATATATTCATATTCACGGAGTGCGAATATGAATATGTCGTATATTCGCATTCCTTTATTCCTTTCGGAACCCTACTTTGGCAAAGGTCGGTCCGAAACGCAATAGTGCGAAGTGTGGCTGTATGTTCATTCCTATCGCTCCTTCTAGGCTTCGACGACGGAGGACTACCCTAGCAGTCCTGCCTACTTCATACTCTGTAAGCGAGGGCGAAGATAGGCAAGAGCAGTATTGCCGATTATCCAGTGATAAGCATGGAGTCCAGCAGGGGCCAAGTCAGTCTCACAATATTATGGTCGTGGTGGGGCTTGATC